CGTTTGATTGTTAATATTTTTTATGAAAAATGTATTTTTCACCTAATTTCCCACTTTTGTACTTTTGATTGACAATTTTTTCCACAAAAAAAAATATTTATCTACTTTTAGTCACGTGATCATATTTTTTTCCTGAAAATAAGAAAAATATTTTCTTCATAGAGATGTGGTTTTTATTTTTCGGTAATTCACTTTCTTTGAACTATCTCATCACATTTCTTTCATCTACCTACAAATAAAAAATATACAAGTATAATATTTTTTAGGTTAAAAAATAAATAAATCAAATATGTTTAATTAATAATTTTCATACAAATAAGTTCTAGATAATTGAATTGATTATAATTTATTTTTTTCTATGTTACAACTTGTTTGGTAGAAATTTTTGAGGGAAGAATTGATTTTGAATAGTGATATAATGGGAAATGTGTGGTTGAATATTATTTTATTGAAAAATATGTGATTGAAAATGAGAATTAATTTACTGTAAAAAATGAGAATTCCTCCCCAACAGGACCTTAATTTTATGCTGGTAATCAAAAGGACTTATATTGATATGCCAGGTGGCCATTCTTTTTCGGGGAAGATGATCAATTATGGCAAAGGAAGGTAAAAATAGATTTGTACTTTTTATTTGAATTCTTTATAATTCAAATGCAATTGTGAGTGGAACATTTGATAAGATAAGCGTCAATCATTGATCAAATCGAATACCAGTTCAAACAAAAGTTCTGATGTCAATGAATAGTTTTTTTTTTTTTTTCAAAATAGTATATGTTTGGGTCATATTATTTTGGAAGAATGTATTTTAGAATAATAGATCGATATAAAATGTATGGTTGAAAAAGAAGGAAAAATTATTAATATGATGGAAAATATTATTTTGATTGAAGAATGTGTGATCGAAAATGAGTAGAAGAATGAATGAAAATTTTAAAGTGGTTCAAACATGGGCATAGTATAATTTTGATCATTTTCTTAAATTCTTCAATTGGTAGATTTTGAATGTTTCTCAAATTCGATTTCAATTTTATCTTTTACAAAATAATTATTTACGACCCACATAAACTAACAAAATAAGTTCAAAGAAATAATTATATACAAAATAAGTCACAAGATAAAAATTTATAAAGTAAAAAGTACTACTTATAAGACAAAAGTTTACTTATAAAATATAAATAGTTATTTATAAGTAAAAATGCACTTACTAGTAAACATATATTTAAAAGTACAAAATCAACTTATAACTGTAAAATTCACTTACAAGTAATCATTACTTAAAACTTTAAAGTTTAATTATTAATAAATATTTCGCTTTTCAAGTTAAAAATTAACTTGTATATAAAACATTATTTATAAATAAAATATCGAGTAAAACAAATAATACAAAAATTACATATTGAAAACTTCAATAAGGGACATATATGTAATTTTATACTTTTAAAGAACTTTCAGAAGTGTAATTATATTCACATGACAATTTTTATTTCTTGCATCATATTTTAATTACAATTAAAGTTTTTAATCTTTGTTCATTAGAGTATTTATGTCCCTAACGATTTTTCATATCATTCTCATCTTCGAAAGTTATATTAATTAATACATTTTGTATTTGATAATAGTTTTATAACCAAAAGTTCGTTGAGATAGCGTAAAACAACCTATTTTCCCATCATATTTTCTAAAAAAAAAATAAAAAGTGTGAAAAAATATTTTTTCCCCCTCATTTTAAAGTATGAAAACAAAATATTTTGATATAAATCATTATCAAAGACGAAACGTACTAATTAATGAAAGGTTGAAGACGAGAATTCATAACTGCAATTAAAATATAGTGTATCAAATACAAATTGTAGTGACAATATAATCACAATTTTCAAGTTTGTTAAGTAATAAACACGTAGATTGATTTATTTTTTTTAAAAAAAAATTACTACTATAAATCGTCCAAAACTCCAAGCAGACCCTCACTTATCGTCATCATCTTTTTGAGATAATAAATGAATACTCTCACGTCTTAAAAAATAACAAACAGAATGGATAATACACGTGCTTTTATGCTATCCTACGAGTGTTTTTGTTTGAAAAATGTGTCATTTGTGTAAGGATTTTTAAACGATCATGTGGGCTTATATGAGAATTATTGTGTATTAAATTAAAAACTATCAATTTTGATTAAGCTCGTTTAAAGTTATCTAATAAGATTTCGGTATTTTAGGTTTTGAAGCGTCTAATTAAAGTGTAGGCATTTATGTGTAGAGACTATGCATGTTGCTAATTTCATGATGGATCGAATTATGTTAACAGGTCGTTAGTGTGTGTGTGTGTGTGTGTAATTCAACCATACTAGGCTTTGCAGGTGTCACGAGACTCATTTGTTGCATTAACCATGTCTAATTCAACCATACTATGCTTTGTAGGTGTGACAAAGTCAATTTAGAAGTATTGCATATTGAGTTTTCGATTTAAAATATTTACTTTACTTAAAAGGAACTATCAAATCGGTTTATAACTATTATTTGACTGAAGTGTGTGGCGCCCTCAAATATGAATTTAGAAAAGTAAAAAAGGGTTAAATCCAGCGATAATCGCTCAACTTTATACTTATTGTCATCATAACTACTCAATTTGATATTATTTCATCACGACCACCAAATTTTATAATTAGTATCATCATGGCCACCTAATTTAACTATGGTCATTCAATTTCATATAATGTTTCATCATGGTCACCCAATTTTATAACATTTCATCATATTTACACAACTTCATTTTACCATTTTCACTAATTTTAATATGGGTAAAACGGTAATTTTATATTATATTTATAAAATAAATATGAAAAAATAATTAAAATTATTATTTATTATATTAAAATAAGTTTTTATTTTATTTTTCTAAGTAACTTTTTATTTTATTTTTTTAAGTAACGTTTTTTTTGAATAAGTTTTTATTTCTATTTTGTTTTTATTTTAAAATTTATTCTAATGCAAAGTTTGTATGTATGTATGTATGTATAATGCAAAGTTATTGTTTACCCCTTTTCAAATTAGTGAAAATGGTGAAAAGCAGTTGAATGACAATGTGAAATATTATATGAAATTAGGTGACTATGATGAAATTAAGTGATCACAACGACACTAAGTATAAAGTGGAGTGGTCTTTTGTGGATTTAACCCAAAGAAAAACTTTATTAATGCATGAACATGTAATTGTCAACTAAACATTGGTAGTGATTTGGAAATCTCACGTTTCAATTCATTTTACTTTTTATTTTACAATATAAAGGTGCGGGATTTCTACTATACATTTCATACGTTGAATTAATTAAAGTAATATGATCAATAAAAAGACATCCATGAATCAAATTGACGGATAACAAGATAAATATGTTGAAAAAAAATAACAAAATACGAACTATCAGATCGTGTCTATACTAGACTGATAAACCTAAATCACCTATACCATCTTAGACTTTGTGCACAACCATCAAATGACTTTGTCCCCACTTCTCACATCACCCGTCCGCGCCCCTTGCACTAAGTGCCTCCTTTGCATCACTATATTGTTCTTGCGTTGATTTAGCATTAAATGGTAGTCGGTTTTTTTATAAATTGTGGTAGATAATATGTTTGAGATCATTTCAACTATATTGGACTTAATTTAACATGATCAGGTTTTAATTTTAACAAAGAATACCATTTATTGAAAAATAATTTAAAATATTTTGACATAAAATGAAAACTTAAAGCTATGTTTTTGCCATGGACATTGTGCTAACAACGTCATGAAATATCGGTAGCTAGAAAAGTCTACACTATAATTATATTAAAATGTTCACTAGTGCCAATTTCCATTTCTTTCGAGCCACAAATGGAAAAGAAAAGGAAAAAATAAATACTAAACTAAAAATAGAAAAAAGATTAAAATAATTAATAAAAAAAAAGAGTGGTGGACTTGCTCAAAAGGAAAAGGAAAAAGTTGTGTCGAATAGCGAACCTTCTCCACACGCGTTAAAAGAGACCCCTCACACGTGCTGTAGCGACTGGGATTCGGTATGGTTGTGCACGTGTCCTTTCTCTCCATCCCACCCCAATCTAGCCATTTATTAATCTCTTCCTTCGCAGTCTTCAGACTGTAGATTTTATAATCAAACAATTTTCGTTTCATTAGCGCTCTAAAACGCCGTTGTTTTCAATTTACTATGGAAACGGATTCAATTAACTCAAATTTCAGCTATTTGGGGCTAAAATTCAGCGATTTGAACACCAATGATGATTCCGCTGCCTTCAGCGACTGCAACAGTGATAGATCCGGCGAGTTTACGGCGTCGTCGTCTCAGAGCCGCCTCCTGTTACTCGCTTGCTCTTCTGATAATTCCGAGGAGTTGATTTCACAACTAGTTTCCGACCTCCTGTCCGATGACATAGATGATCAAAAACAAGCAGCCATGGGAATCAGGTTGCTCGCGAAGAACAAACCGGAGAATCGGATAAAAATCGCCAGAGCCGGAGCCATTAAACCGCTTGTATCGATAATTTCGTCAAATGATGCTCAATTACAGGAATATGGAGTCACGGCCATTCTTAATTTGTCACTCTGTGATGAAAATAAGGATTTGATTGCGTCTTCTGGGGCTATTAAACCCTTAGTCCGCGCGTTGAAATCGGGAACTTCAACGGCTCGAGAAAACGCGGCTTGTGCTCTACTTCGGCTCTCCCAGATCGAAGAGAATAAAATCGCCATAGGCCGGTCGGGGGCGATTCCGCCACTGGTGAATTTGCTAGAGAGCGGCAATTTTCGAGGTAAAAAGGATGCTAGCACGGCTTTGTATTCTCTATGTTCTGTGAAGGAGAACAAAATCAGGGCCGTTCAGGCTGGGATTATGAAGCCTCTGGTGGAGTTAATGGCGGATTTTGAGTCGAACATGGTGGATAAATCGGCGTTCGTGTTGAACCTATTGGTGTCTACGCCGGAAGCCAGGGCGGCGGCGGTGGAGGAAGGTGGAATTCCGGTACTGGTTGAAATAGTGGAGGTGGGAACCCAACGGCAGAAGGAGATTGCGGTGGGCATATTATTACAATTATGTGAAGATTGCTCGACCTACAGAACTATGGTAGCGCGCGAAGGAGCGATTCCACCTTTGGTCGCTTTGTCGCAGACGGGCACCAGGCGTGCAAAAGAGAAGGTAAGATAAGTAGTAACTTATTTTATTTATTTTTAACTTTTCACAGAAAAGAAAAAATAAGTAATTTTTAATGTTTAGGCAAACATGTTCCTTTGTTCCCCGAGGAGATGAATTGGTTTCTAAATTTTAACTAATTGTTGATTGAGCAGATATTTAATTAAAGTGATTAAACAATTACTTAAGATTATTTAAATGAATAGAAATAAATTTATTTTGGTTATTGCTTCGTCAATAATGGTGGTACCAAGTCTCTTGCACGTTGTCGCCGCATAGGACCAATTAAAATATAACGAAAACTTTGAGCATACAGAAGTTGACACTTTAATTTTATCCATTTTTAAGGGAAAAAACCAATCTTAGAATTGGATTGGGATGGGCTCGGTCGTTCTTTTATATAAAGTATTAGATAAAATTGGATGGTATGATTATCGGCTTTGATTGAAGAAGCCACTAGACCTCGTAGTGGTTGGATTGTTTTATACTTGAATAATAATATGTAACTCCATTGGCGTTAGGTGAATGATAAGTTAATGCCACTTATTTAATTTAATGTTACATTGAATCCATCTAATCTGGGTTGTAATCCCGACAAGACTTGGTCACAAGAAATGCTAGTAGGTTGGTTGGTCATTGCTTTGCTTACTTTGATGATAAGGGAGGAATAAGTGGTGCTAAGTTTTCGGAGATATTGTGTAGATTGCCCAATCTTGAACTTAATCCCTTGTCGAAAATGGTTTGGAATTTAAACCACCGATCAAAGCTTTCTCAGTTTACCCAACACGTTGTGCCTCTATCTAAATTAATATTACCTCAAATACATGTATGTTAGATGATTTTTTAAACCCCCGTTTGACAATTATAGTTTTTGAAAACAAGTTTTGAATAGTGATTTTTAGGAGAATGTATGGTTGAAAAGTTTTGAATTTATGTGTAGAATAGGTTTCTCGCGTAAATGTGTAGTTGAAAATCAGTGCGTAGAAAAAAGAGTTTGAGGTTGTCAAACAAGTGCTAAAGTATCGCCTTGAAATATATGTTTAACGTTGAAATTTTCGAGTCCCCATTCTGTTCGGGATTTGCTGTACGTTGATTGTCCACTCAATACATTTTCTACAACTTGATACTTCACACTTTCTTAACAATGGCAAAGACTTCGAGAATGTCTTTTCATTTGTTAAGAATAGGTAACGTGATGAGATGAAAAAATTGTATTTGGAGACAACGAAGGGACAAGAAGTCGAGGACATCATGTGTTTTCAGTTTGATTCTTAAAATAGTTTTCTTTTACATAAAGCAAATAATTGTATCTGACCAGTGGCATGTGTAATGTGTTTTGTGGTGCGTTCTTTTGTGGACAGTCGGAAGCACTGATTGAGGTTTTGCGGCAACCAAGATCCGGGAACGCCGCTGCATCTGCAAGAACATATAATGTGGCAGTTTGATATGTCTCCACATGCCCCTTTATGGGCCCCATCCAATCTTTATCAATTANNNGGCCCCATCCAATCTTTATCAATTATACCGTAATGGAAGGCGGAGAAAAATTGGAGGAAAAAGAAAAAGAGAGAGAAAGAAAGAGTCAACTTGTAAATATCTTGTGTTGTAAGAAAGGGTTGTATATTGTCCAAACTTTTGGTTTTGATCTTTGGTATACTTTTTTATTTTTGTTTTGTGGGTTTTATTCGTATAGAGATGATAGTCAAAAATAATAATCACAAACAGATTTTGTGGTTGAGAATTATAGGTTCCGTTCTTGATATATTAATCATATGTTCGACTATCTTTATTTTTAATCTCGCATTTTCATAATAAAATATTTGTAACCTAAATTTAAAAAATTTTCCTACTTTTTAATTATATATTCTACAAAAAATTATTATTCAAAGCATTATTTTCTCTCAATTTCTCTTAAAATGGCCATCGAATAGAGGATATGATAGCAACATGTAGCAAAATTTTCAAAATCATTATTTTTTAAGATTGATGAAATAAAAATTGAAATACATTAAGTCCCTGTTTAATTTTCTTTTTTTCAAACTTTTTTTATCTACACGATCATTTTCTATCAAATATTTACACAACAAAATATTTTACATGTAAATTTAAATTTTTTCTTACTTTTTAACTACACATTCTAGGGCTGTAAGCAAAAATCGCAAATACCGGAAAATCGAACCGAAACCGCAATTTAGAAACCGGCGGTTTGGTGCCAC